TCTCCGGAGGCCTAGCAGCCCAAATGCTTGTCATAGTCGGATTCAGCATGTTTGATTACTTATTGTCCACTAGCTTAGAACTCAAACGAGTTGACAGTTGGGGACCTTTCCTCGTGAGTCTCTAAGGAGGTAGTCATGAACTAAATATGGTAAAAGTCTGAGCTCATTCCAACACTCCTAGACGCAGCTATACAGTTTTCATTACCTGTAGTATGTGTTTATTCTTCTTGAGTAACATGTGAAAAAAAGAATAGAAGATCGGTCAAAAAGACTGTCCTTGTTGATTGACACTGTTTAGTGCATGTGGTATTCGAGAAAGAAATGATCGAAGCAGAGGACTTTACTGCAGTAGCTACACCGTATGAATGCCGTGTTTTTCTTCGTCCTCTTCGTTCTCACAAGTCGGTACGTATCAGATCAGTAGAACACACCAAGCTAAATTTATTCTCACATCATTCGAATCATATTTCAAATGACTCATATGGCTATCATAGAAAGAGTTAACACATACTACAGGTTATGAAAACTGTATAGCTGCGTCTAGGAGTGTTGGAATAAGCTCAGACTTTTACCATATTTAGTTCATGACTACCTCCTTAGGGACTCAGAATATCAGCTCTACCAAAGCTTTCATCTGGGAGCAAACTCATACGTAATAGCGGTAAATTTCGAAGAATTTTTAAAATTTTCGAAAACTATGGAAGCCGTTGAATGCTATAGCTCAAACTTTCAGTAGAGCATGGCCACTATGACTAGTAGTCACAGTAAAAATATCACATCTATCGGACTTTGTTCGACTGAGAAATCAAAGATTTGGGAGCAAAATTGTATCTTTCGATCAAAACTCAAAATAGGTATAACTCCATTCCAAAGCACCATGGGGATGAACTAACTTAGGATATTTCACTACTCACTAAGGTCTACAAGATACAAGTAGTCCGAAAGCGATTTATAACCTCAAGAGGTTCCCTCGTGAGTACAGGTTTTCACTCGGCTCTTGCATTTCGTTCTGAAAACAAACAATACCACAAGACTCACCATAGTCGAAAACTTATGTTTGAAATCATTTTTACTGGTCCCAACCCTAAAAGAAGGCAGTCCTGATGCTTCGGAGAAAAGTCTTGCCAGATCCGAACCATTGATTTCGAAGATATCGCTTAGATCTAGTTTTGTAGAGGATAGATTGGACTATAAATTGATCGAAAAAAATCGACATAGTTCTATGTTCGTTCTGAGAGCTACGACCTGGTTTTCAAAAAGTCTTTGACTTTTTTTCAAAAATCATTTTTGGTTGTAGAAAGATGCGTACAGATCTTGGCTATAAATTTCTGAAAACCGCAGGTCTCTATCTCATTCCTGTCATAAGTTATTCAAAACGTAATCGCGGTCATTGTTTTATTTTATAGATAATACTTTAAAATTTAAAGATTTTGTTTATATTTCAAAATTTGGGTGAAAAACTGGAAATAACTTCAAAAGTTTTTCTCAAACACTACAAGTCTGAGAATCGAAAATACTGGAGAATGTATATTTGAGACTGTTCTCCACAAACTGGCGGAAAATACTGAGACAGGGAAGCCCTTTAAACCGATACAAAAGCATTCATTCATTCATTTATTAAGAGATTTACAGTAGCTTTGGATGTAATCTTCATTATTTATAATACAGTCAACGTTTCGAACTGTACACAGTTCATTTTCAAGACAAAAAGATGTTACAATGTATTTGAAAAGTAAAACAAATTTAAAAGAGAAAGAAATAAAAGTAAATTTTATACATTTGTTCGTTCTTTCACGGATCAGAAAACGACAAATAATTCTATCATTGAAGATTACATTCAAAGCTGCTGTAAATCTCTTAATATTTACTTCTAAATTATTACCCGTAGATGAAACAAATTATTCATTCATTTATCGCATGACGTTATCATATATACGACAAACTTTTCAATAAATCTGGAAAACGTCTGCCAGTCGTTGCTAACAACAACGACAAAGATTTATTCCAAATTTGCTTCGGACCATTTCTAGACGTTATTTTACTCATGCGACTGATACCGTCCCATCCTTTAAAGCAACAACACAAAGAATCTCCTATTTCATCTCCTTATAAACACCAAAACAAAATTATAACTTACCTTCAGTTAACACAAAAGCGTTATCATCCGCGCTACTACCACTTGGAATCCAGAATTTAAAAGGAGTAAAAGGAGTAAAAAGAGTAACAGTACTGACTAAAAGTAATAAAAGGAGTAAAAGTGATAAAAAATCAAAACGAGTAACAGTAGTAAAAGACTAAAAGGACTAAAATGAATAAAAAACTGAAGGACATACTAGTCATCTATCAGTATAACTTTTTCACAGCTCGAGACAAACTTCGTACCTTCTCCCTTCTCTGTTCTACAGGTACTTGGCGGTTACTTGGGTAAGTGTTTGGCAAAGTACTTGACAAGAAGATAAAATAATTCAAGTACTTAATTTATTGGCAAGTATTTGGTTACATACAGAAAAACGCAAGAACGTTGAACAAAACGTGCGAGGGCAGTAGAGCAAGTACCTTCATGCGAGTACATTCACTAGAGTATCTATTATGTCAATATAAACGGGTATTACACCTGTATAATTGCAACATTTTTTATATATTTTAAATCACCTAGTTGCTACAAAAAAGTCATATGACTCTAAAATTCGCCCCCACTCCCCATTTTGGAAATCTATGCGGTTTGATATTTGTACAGTAACTTAGTGCTTTTGCTTGTTCCAGATCAATGAAAATCTAGCCAAAAGATAATTTCCCAGATTCCTAGATTCTAAAGTTCTAAATTTCTAAGTTGCCAGATTTCCTAAAAGTCAATCCTTTGTAGAATTCAAGAATTTTCGAAAATCAAACTTTCTAGAAAAATCGAAAGATTTTGATCGTATGCCCTGTACGAAAATCATATTTTCTTTTTTTTACAGTAGTATATAATGGCTGAGTCTCAATCGAAACAAGAAATTGATTATAGTGTTGTTCCATATTCTCAACAGCAAATTGATAATTTTATTGATGAAGATTTAAAATTAATTTTAAACGAAAACTTGTGGAATGAATATAAACGAAACAAAGAAACAAATGATATATGTAGTGTATGTAAAATGCCAAATGATTCAATATGGTGGATGAAAGTAAAAGGTGAAATATGTGTAGGTAACATGGATAATATTGATGATTTACTTGATAAATCATTGAAAGAACGGCATCATGAATGGCACGAACTTTATTTGGATGGTGACATATATACGGATAAATATCAAGTACATCCAAAAACAGAAATATGTTATTTTAAATATAAAACACCAATAAAATTTGTATCACCACGTGATACTTGTTACTTAAAAATGCGTAGAGATTTACCTGATAATCAAGCATTTATTCTATCTTATCGTTCTGTTACAATAAATGAACATATTCCGTTAGATAAACATTGTGTTAGAATAACATTTAATGGTGCACATATGATCGAAAAAAGAAAAAATAACCCAAATCAAGGATTCATGTATACTTATATTCAACATGTAAGTACTGTTTTATCAGCAACTGTGCGTTTAACGTAGAAAAATTACTCAATAGGCTATCTGAAATTAGAAATTCATTTGAGGGAATTAAGAATCAAAACTTATTTAATCGTTTTTTGACAAACCTATTACGACGTGATTGTTCTGAATATAAGGTGGTTTTTCCACGAAAGTACCCCTCGACTCTTTGGCTAACGTCGAACAGTACTTATTGTTATTAGCCTCTTGAATTTCAGGCTGACTTCTTTTTTGTTCAGTTCATTGGATCTTTGTTTCCCTATTTGTTGAATTATAATACGTTAAGCATATCATAATGCTTTATAATGTGTTATGTTTTCTACTGTCTAATTCTTTCTCTCCGAATTTAAACAATACTTTCAGCGGATGACGCAAAATATAATTCGCATTTTCTACAGGTTGCGCGTTAATGAGCTATTTAGTGTGTCAAAGTCGATCCAGGATTGAGAGAATGACTAGTTAATATTTCCCTCGTCCATCCTAGTGAAGGGGCTGCTAGTCCTAAATTTGTGACTTAAAAGGCTGCTACTAGAGTTACTTTTTCTTCGCCCTTCTTTAAAATACATTAAAATGAATAAAGTGGGTGCACAATAAGAGACTTGGATCTACTATTGTGTCCTTTTTTACTATACTTCAACCTGGAGAATTCGGATTTGTTTTATTTTAAACTAGACACCTAGCTACATGGGCTAACCGGCGCCGATTTTTCAGTTAGATATTTGTTCGTTTTGTAGACAACCAACAAACTCAAAAACCTGAAAACTGCTTCATGGTTTCCTAGAAATCCTCAATTTGACAAAAACTAAGACCTAATAGAAAAATCAGCTAATTGAAAAATCAGCGCCGGTCAGCCCACGTAGCTAAGTGTCTAGTTTTTTTTTTCTAAACCAGTTTATTTAAAACTACGTAACAAATTTACACAACAAAGCGGGCCTAGCCCATTATATGTTGAGAGAAAGTGAAGCGACAAAGTAAAAGAGAGAAAAAGGAAAAAAACATGAGAAAATCATATGAAAAAAGAAGCATGAGAGAATCATTAAAACAATACATATAAAAGCCCATAACCGAAATAAAAACAGTAATGAATATACTATATAGCAAGAAGAAAGAACAAAGTAAGAATGCAATTCAGTAAATTAATCTGAATGAATGATCTAAGCAGAAACAAGGGAGGAGAGTGGAATATAATCTGTCTACTCTCCTCCCTCGTTTTTTGTCTAGTAGAACTAGTTCCCTAGTAGAAGTGTCTAGTTTAAAATAGAACAAATCCAAACTCTCTAGCTTGAAGTTTATTAAAAACTTTTAGAAAATACTTCAGGTGTAACGCACATGTAGAGAAAACGCCGTACAAAATGCTCAATTTTAGGGCTTTTACGAAAATGCCTGTAACTTTTTAATGCAAAGTTATACAGAGTTGTCCGACGCCTTATTTTGATCAAAAAAGTTTTCTTTACAATCTACGCGTTACGAAAAAAATCTAATTGCATAAGTATCCAGGAAAAAACTATTATTTAAAGATCCGGTTTTTCGGAGTTCCTAGAAAACTTGCTCGAAAGCCGCGGAAAATCACTTCTATAACAGAAAGCGATATAGATTCTGAAAGTAGACACGTTAGGCTATCTTTCTATGTGCTTATCTCAGAATGGAGTTTTTTTGTCCGAGAATCATCATTTCTGAGGGGAGGTGGGCACTTAAGAATAAAGATCTTCGGGGGATTCTATTGAATGCGTAAAAGAAAACTATTTTTCATGTTCATAAAATAGAATTTTGACGTGTTAAGTACACTATAAAGCCTTATAGCGTGTTAGGTTTTCTATTGCGTTAAAACGTTCTGAATTTTGGAAAAAAACGACTGTGATGCGCTGTAAAGCATCAGTGTTACGTGGTAAAAAATCCAAACAACTGAAACCATAGCGTTATAATGCATTTTTGTTAAGGACTTTATTATATTTTATAATGTTACAATGCTATAAATTCAATTAATACTCTAATAGTTGTATACCATTACACGCTGCTACTAAATTTCTGTCACATTATAACGCGTCTACTTGAAATGCATTGCAACGTATTACGCATGTTCTAACTCGTTGTAAGACTACAGAAGTTCCTCACACGTTTCAACACCATGAATTTATGGCATTATAACGCATTAACTATTTAAGCGTTATAGTGCTTTAAGCTAGAGAAAAAACTGAAATATGTTATAATATATTAGAATCCACCGTGTTACAGATCGTATTAAGTTATAATAATATAAACTTCTAGCAGTGAAAATTGAGAAATTTCCAGAAAATCGTTTCTAATTCGTTATAATATCATAAATTGAGCGAAGCAGATCCTATGGGAGATGTTGGCCTGTTTATAAGCGTGTGAGAGTGTGACTCGAGACTAGGCAGATGTGAGTGTTGATGGAAGAGTCCGTGAGGGGACGTTCGTCTCTAAATACAGTCAGTTAATCCAAAACCGCAAATTATTTTTTAGGCAGATGGTTCAGGTTCTATTCCAAAACTATTTGCTAATTTTGCACAATGTGATATAATGTTAAATGAAATTACTGGTGTACGAAAAGCAATGCTCAATCCTATTAATCGACCTGCCGACAATGAACAAGTCGACAAGGATCAACAAAGTCGATTTAACAAAAAATTATCGCAGAAAGAGCAATCAGGTAATATTGGCTCTAGTTCAATATCTGTACTAAAACACAGTATTTTTGAACTAGAAAATAATTTATTTTTGTCTGTTGTAGATAACACTGTGGCAAAAGAGGACGTATTAACAAAAAAAAACGATTCTTCAAAATTCAATTATTGGTCCAGGGAAGACAAAATCATCAAAGGCTTGGCTGAATATTCTGGTAAAAATATAGAAAACAAGAAATTATTAGTAGTGACACCAGCGTCAGTGCAACAGAATATCCTCCCTGCTTCGAATGAGACTAACGTACGATACTGTGATATTCAGCTAAGTCAAAAAAAACTACCGGCTGTCTATGGTTATTTGAATTCACCATTACTACCATTAGAAGCTGCTACTGACCCAATTTTACATTTGGTTGATAATTTAAATCGTTATGTAAAAATTGCAAAACAACATTGTACAACATCCGTAGACGCTAGTTTAACACATGATGAATCAGCTGCTATTTATTTATATACAATGGAAATGGGCGATGGTAGTTTTTACCGTATTTTGAATAAAGCATTGCGCTCAGAAGATCGTCCTGCATTGAAACCATGGTTTTATTATTTAAAACTTCTTGATTATGCTTTAAATAAGTTAAAGTCGCAAAATATTGTTGCCTGGAGAGGAATGCATACGGATGCAAGCAAAAGTTTTAAAAAAGACGATGAAATTGTTTGGTGGAGTATTAATTCCTGTTCATCATCCGTAGATATTGTCAAAAATTTTTTAGGAACAAATAGTACATTATTCTTAATTGAATGTACAAATGGAAAAGATATATCGTCGGACACGGCTTATCCAAATGAGAACGAGGTTATTTTAATGCCTGGAACTTGTTTGAAAGTTGTTAGTGATCCATTGGATCATGAAGGTGGATTGCATATTGTACATTTGAGAGAAACAGAAACCATTTAACTTATTTTAAACTTTTTTGTTTTCCAACAAATCCAGCTGGCTCATTACATGTTGGTTGAAATTGAACAGATATGACAATAATAACAACAAGAAAAAAAGAACAATATGTAAAAGAAGAAAAAGAGAGAAGAGAAAGAAATAATCAAAAGTGTTGTAAAGTTGGAAAAGGAGTTATCTTATCAAAAAGGAAACGCTTTTTATCTTGCTTCAGGAGTCTTCAGGAATCTGTTGGGGAGTACAGTTCTACTTTGGCGGGAAAAGAAAGGTCGCACATCATTGGATCCGGCGAAAACGTCCTGCATCCTTCAAAAATTTTAAAACTGAAAGATATAGGATTTTAATTTTATCTTTTTCGAGAGAGAGTATATCTTTGCTTTTAAAAAGTAAATGATCCATTGTTACGTCGGTTAGTTGAAGTATAGACTGAAACGTTTCTAATAGTTCTGAATGTTGTGCTATATACTTTGCACAAAAAAAGAAAAAGTGAGATGATGCTTCTCTTTTATATCCTCACTCGCACTCGGCGGCAGTCACTATATACCTTTTAGCCAAATCTTCATTCAATTGTGTGAAACCCAATCGAAAACGTGAAAAGTCTATTTCCAAAATTCTTTCAGTCACAGGTGGAAGGTTCAGTATCTGTAAAAAAGGTTGTTTCATTTTACATTTAAACGACTGAACTTAATAAAAAACGTTCTGACGAAGTACTACCGTCGACCATTGTGACAATAAGACGATTCTTCAGGTAGTTTTCAAACCATATTAGCAAGGCGTCTGACAACCCCGCACATCAAAGTTTGTATAACAGACCATCGTAGCTGACTTTGTCAAATGCCCTCCAGAAACGTCGAGAGAACAAATATTCCTTAATCAAATGATATTGCTATCTGATGAACTATTCGTATTAGCTGAGATATTGTTGACTGACTTCAATCAAAACCGGCCTGGTTTGTATGAAAAAACTTGTTCGTTATTAAACAGCCATACACATGATTATAAATGATTCGTTTAAAAACCTTTGACTGTGTCGACTGTTTTGCAAAATATTGCTTTTTCACATAACTGCATGCTTTCTCAAACGCAGTAGCAGCCTGTTCATGCGCTCCTAGTGCGTGAATAGACAGATACAAGGGTCGGCGATGTTTCTGATATAAAAGATCACGCTTGCGTAGAAGCAGCCTTAAATTGTAATTAAAGCATGGCGTTAAAGTGCCTAGAGACTTTCCTGTCAAGCTTATGACTCATGTTCCCCTGCCCTAGCCAAAGTTGCCCCTGTGAGCTGTATTCGATTCAATCAGTTGTTTAATATGTGTAACTAATATGTGTAAATAATGTTTGTTAACAATTTTTGTGTTTTTCATTTAAACATTTTTTACATATTTTAAAAAAAGTGCCTAGAGGCTTTATACGGTTTTTGCGTATAAAGACAGCAAATTTCCTTTGGCACGTGGATATATGCCATAAAAGTGATACGAAAGCCTCTAAGTACCGTTTTTCAAGCTTTTCGTACACGCTCTTTTCAATGGCATGATTTCTAAACTTTGAAACTATGTTCGTACAAGATTTCAGAGATCCAGTCTCTAGAAAACTAGTAGAAAGATATTTTCAAAGTTTAGAAACCATACCATTGGAAAGACCGCATACGAAAACCTATAAAAACCCTTTTCAATAACTCGTATGTGAATTTGGTGATATCTTCATAAACAAATATGCTTGAATTTACTTTACCTAAGATGTATAAAGAACGAGGAATAGACGAACGAAGTGCACAAGAAAAACATGTTGCTATAATCGCCCTTGTTTTGCTATTTTGATACTGGTCGACTCGATGCGAATTTTCAATATCTTCTACCGACATTTCAACACCCAATATATTATCAATAAAATCGCTAGTTTGGACGTTGTGTCTTCATTTTTCTCTTCCGGAAATCCCACAAATCGTAAGCAAAATGTCCGTGAATACTGTTCTTGGTCTTCAACCCGAGCTTGCTGTTTTTCCATCGATTGGTGCTGATCTTTCAATTTGATAGAAATAATGTCTAATTGCTCTTGAAATTTTTTCGTCAGTTTTTCTTACATCCCATCCACGATTTTCTCCGCATTCAGAACAATATCACCGCCGTTTCATTCAAGATGTTGCGTACTTCGTTTTGAGTGGTCTGATCTGTTTGAAGCACGGACACAATATTTCTGACATGAGCCAGTGTGAGAGTCAAACGACCTAAATCTGAACGTTTTGAACCCATGAATAATCAAATTATCGAATAAATGAATAAGGTATGAATTAGATTTAGAAACTTAAGTTGTGGTTTAACGTTCTTCTTTTCGTATAAAAACATACGTCCGTTCGTTAGATAAAGAAAAAGAGACCATTTAACTTTGAAGAATAAAGTTTATTATATCCTAAACAAATAAAAGAATTTCGGGAAGAATTATTTAAGAGCTAATGTCCCGAAACTTCAGACAGGATCACAAAAGGTACTTTAAAATTCAAATAATTCTTTTTTAAATTTTTTTCGTAATAATGTTCTGTTTTGCCATCCGATTCAGAATATTCTTTTTTCGAATTTATACATAATTATTTTGTATATAAATCAATTGCGTATATTCTAACCATTTATTGCTATCTGAACTCATATAAGTAAACATTATAAATTTAATGAATAACATTTGAAATAATAAAAAATGTTTACCAGTTTAACGATAAAAGAGTGCATTATCATTCGCTTTATACGTATAAATAAGAGTTGCACAGTGGACAACCACGCGGACATTAGGTGGAAAAATGAAAGTGTACTTTTTTAAGATTCAAATAGTGTCAATATATACTTTGTTATACGGACTATCTAATGTCATAAAAGTTTTGTTCCAAGTGCCTTAGTTAGTCGGAAAATGTATTCTGAAAATTTAGCTGAGAAAACTGGCTGCTAA